CACAACCGTGTCTGTCTTAGCAACCACGACTGCTGAAGTTTCATTCGTCATGCTTTTGGAAAATAGAAAACTAAGTAATAATTCTCAAAGAATCAAAGAAATATGAGAACACGTCTCAATCAAGAAAGAAGTTTTTGTCGTTCAAGAGAAAAAGTAAAAGACGACAGCAAAGATTTTTAGGGTTTAGATCTTTGCTCTGATACCATGTAAAACTAGAGAACGACTTGATTTATTCCATTGAGTTACAAGAGTATTTATACACAGTATGACGGAAGCCCTAATCTAGAATAGGAAACACATATAAGTACAATAGAAAATACTATAATATGAATATATACTCCAATACTAGAACACAATTAAAGATAAAAATGATATATTAAAGCAAAATTACGGTAAAGATATGTTTAAAAAATTCACTTATTATTGCTTGTAATTCTTTTATTACAAAAAAAAAATATTTATTAAAATTGCATGATACCTCTATTAATATTAGCACGATTCTTAACTTCGACATGTAATTTCTACGATAATAAAAAAAATATATAACAACATTATCTAATAGTTTAAACAAATATTGCTGTCATGTTTCTGATCTGAATTCAAAAGTATGTGTGCATCAGTGCATGAATTGTAGACAACAACAACAGAAAAAAGGACACTAGCTTAGATATGTAAATTATATAATATTTATAATAGATATCATGTAAATGGTAAAAGCAACTGCCTCATGAAACATATGGTATGGATTTATCACGTTGTTGTTGTTGTCTACAATTCAAATGGTAAAATCTCTATAAGTTTTTGTTGTTGAAGTAAGTGTAAACATGTAATTATGCTTATGTGAAGCACGTCTCTGCGATGAAACAAATAAACTCTTCACACAAAAAAACAGTCAAAATTTGTCCACATATATTTTGAAGCACGTCTCTATCTAAATATGTGAATGGTAAAAGCAACTGCCTCATGAAACATGTGGTATGTCGATTTATGCTTATATGTGGTTATTAAAGAAATGACCATTCTATTAATATTCTTTATAGAACTTTAAACTTTTATTTCAAAATTACTATAAATTTTCTTAAACTAAAGTTTTGTAAATAAATTATATAATATTTATAATAGATATCATGTAAATGGTAAAAGCAACTGCCTCATGAAACATGTGGTATGTCGATTTATGCTTATATGTGGTTATTAAAGAAATGACCATTCTATTAATATTCTTTATAGAACTTTAAACTTTTATTTCAAAATTACTATAAATTTTCTTAAACTAAAGTTTTGTAAATAAATTATATAATATTTATAATTTGGATAGAACAATATATCTAAGCTTATATAAAAATAGCTAACTTTAGTTAAATAGGCTTAGATATATTTTTCTTTCCAATTCTTTAATATTATATAATCATAGTGTTCAATTTCTGTTATTTATTTTAGGGTATAGTAAGTTTTGGATAATAGTAAATAGAAATCGGCCCATTAAGTTAATAGAATGAGGCCAAGAAGTCAACGTCGGCTAATTGCATGGCATGCGATGAATCTACGTAGTACGTGAGGATGATACTTACCTAACTTTTTTTTTGTCTATAGTATTAGCATCACTTTCTTTAATTCCGGAGCCACAAAGAGATGGGCACTTATCTGTTCCTGTCGTTTTATTCAATCGCATTTACATAAAAACTTTAGATTAAGAGGAAGAAAATATGGAACAATAAATAAATGAATTATTGTAAAATAAAATATATGTACCAAATATGACAAAATTATATTTAGAAAAAATTCATCATCATTGAGAATATATCCTAAAAATGGGTAGATTCGTAGTGATTTTGTTGTTGGAATGTCCAATTTACTGGATTTCATCGAATTAAAGATGAGCAATTCAACCTCTGAAATATGAACAAAACTCTGTCTTTAGGATCGACAGTAGTCTTCAAGATGACGAATTATGGATCATCTTGCCGATAGCTCTCTAAAACTCAAATTAGAAAAAGACCACATTAMTGTGTGCATAATTGTAGTAGATGACCAAGGGTGTGCTATAGCTAGTTTTTTTTGAAAAAGAGTGCTATAGCTAGTTAGAGAGTCCAAAATTCAGAGCGGAAAAATTGTCGAGATTAGGCCTAGCTCACGATGTGATCTTTAGTATCATGTTGTAGCTTAAAAAATAGTTAATTTTCTTCTAGAAAAGCATTGAGTGTTACTTTTTTGGAGGCGAATTGGATCCTATAAACTAATAGTGCGACCATATGTTTCATATATGCATGATCCAAAGAATGAAAGAAAATCTCAGACGCGTGGCTATAACTTTTTTCTTGTGGTGTTTGTCGAGATCCAAAGAGCGAAAACAATCGCGTAGTCTATAAGTTTTATTTTGTAGTGTGTGTCGACATCTGAAAAATATGATTACTTCTAATGGATTCAATAGAAAATATATTAATAGATATATATATAAAGTATATTAATAACCACATATAAAGAATATTTTTCTTTTAAAATTCTATTAAGATGATATTTTTAATATATATATAAGATTTATACACCAAATTTTTAGACGATCAG